CCTTGGATTTTATTGAATCAAAGTGTAAGCTTCGTTTGGTTTCATCGAGAAGAACTAAAATAAAAAAAAGAAACCCACTTACCAACACCTTATCCGCCAAAGCCTTACTTTTCGCCTCCGCAGCCGCCTGCATCTGCGCATTCTCGTCCTTGACGACCCTGCGGCGCTTGCGAGTTTCGCCATGCTGCGTTCCCTCAACCTCGACGTCGTCGTCGTCGTGGTCCGGATTGTCTTCGAGGTTGCTACGCCCTCGTCGACGACGAACAGAGGCAGGCGTCGCAGCCGGCTGGTCCTCGTCGTCGTCGTCTTCGACACGCGACGGATGGTCTGACCACCGTTTTCGGCTCTGGGTTGGTTAGTGACGTGTTAGGGAGGACGGCAGGGTGACACGACAGGTCCGGCGGCGGATTTGTTGGGGTTCTGGCGGTTTCCGGACATTATCGTTCAGAGAAAGATTGATGCCGCCTGGCGCAGTAAGCCTTCTCATCGCTCGACGCTGCCACCCAGATACATTGCGACCTCAACTGCTCCCGGCCTTCGCGTTGACACGAACCTGGGGCGTCTTGATAATAACCTCATCCGCGTCCTCGTCCATGCCATCGCCGCCGTCCACCAGCGCTGGGCTGTTGCGGCCCAAGTCCATCGACAGATCCACCTGCGACGACGCCAAGCCACCCATCTCGAAATCGCCCTCGTCTTGGATCATCGATTCGGAGGTAGCCGGAGTGGAGAGGCGGTCTGCGGCTGCCGCTGCTTTGCCGGCGGCGTGGCGCGGGAGGGAGCCCATGTGCTTTCCCGCCGGCGCCGCCGCAAAAGTCGCGGTCGGGTTGCCGGGTGGATCGCTGTTGAGGTTGCGCAGCGGGATCCGACGTTGGGAGGAGAGCGTGGACAGAGTCTGCGCCACAGCCGAGGCGCCTGCGAACGGTTCGCGGTCCGTGGTGGCTGCGGTCTTCGAGGGTGTGGGCGTGCCGGTAGATGATGCGGGTCCAGCGGCGGCAGGGGTCAGAGATGGCGATCGGATTGGCGGCACCGGCGCTTTCTTCGACTTCGTTGCCCCCCCAGTTGACATGGAGAAATGATTGAACAACGACAGCCCGCAACGACAACGATCCTGCAACACTCGACAACAGTTCTGTTCTCGCCACAAATGCAGAAAAGTTTCAAAACCGTGCAGAGGCCGCAAAGCGCCCAAGAGCCGCGCATCAAGAAGTCATGAAGAGATGAAAAGGATTTGAGTAAAGTCCCTTTTTGCCAGGCAGCGTCCCAATCAACCTCCTTAGAGTCCCATTGGAATGTCCAACTCCATTGCATAACCGCAAGACAGCTTGTGGCAGAGTCACGTAAGAGGTGCTTTCGATAAAAGTTAAAGAAGACTGGCTCACCTGCGGAATCTGACTGTACTCGTCGCGAAGAAGTCCGCGAATTTTGCGAAGGGCGTCGAGGTAGGAGCAATTTGGATTTTCGTTGATGGTCTACGAGGTTGCGAAGTGAAGACACCGAATGATGGTGAGCAGAGAGCGTTTCGGTGCGCGATCGAATTGAGTGATTACCTTAATAAACGCCCACGACATAGCGCCGGTGGGCATGTTTCCCTGCAAAGCAAAGTCGTGTTACTGTCAAAGTCCCTAAGAGGAAGACAGGCTTTTGTCGACTGCAAACTTACAATCTTCGTGTCTGCCGACGTCTGATCGTCTGACGGTGGAAGGATCGCGTGAGATACGATTATTGGGTCACTAAAGAAGATCGCCCACTGACCTTTGCAACCAGACCATTGAATGATTGTCGCGGCCGTTTCTTGCTTCTTCTGGCCGGAACCGGCCAGTCCGTCCCTCGCAGTGCCCATGTCTCCGCCTCCACTGCTACCCACGCTCAGCGAGCCCTGGTACCGCCCGGTTCAACAGCGCGCCAATCCGACCCAGCGGGCCATTTCCTCCCTCGCCACTGGCGGCACCACGTGCAAGCAGCTGGACTCCTTCCATGGCGGCCGCCAGAGCGCCCTTCTTGTCACCCGTGAGCCACATCAGGCCACCCTGGAGCAACTTTTTACCGGCAGCCTCAAAGTTGCTGATGCGGACGACCTGGTCGTTCTCGTCCAAAAGGTAGGTGTAGGCCAGGTCCATCATTGCTAAAGATAAAGAAGCAAAAGTAAAGTCAGACTGTTACGCGTTCAACAAATGATACCCACTTCCAGAGTGGCAGCAATCGAAAATGGCCGTGAGGAACGAGCCTTGCGGGAGCGGCGCGCACATGATCTCGTGGAGAACATCATCGCGGATCTGACCATTCTCCTCAAAGTCCAGAGGGAGCAGAGTCTCGTCCATGCCGTCGTCCTCGTCGCCATTGTCGTCCTCCTCCTGCCCACCGTGTCCCGAGTAGTGGAAGAAGAAGTGATCCCCAGGTCGCGCGCCTGCGACAAGCCAGCGCATCGCAGATATGATGTTGTTGCGGGTCGGAAGGCGATCCTGCTGCTGGCCGTCCTGGTCGGTCAGGATGAGGATCTCCTGGACGTAGGGGAAACGCGCTCGGAAGAAGGCCAGCATGTTTTCCACGTCCTTGTGGCAGCCGGCGAGGGGGGTACTTGGTGTACTTGTAGTTGATCCCGATGAAGACGGCGCGGCGCATGCGTGATTGAGTGGGTGGGGCGCGGGTTCCTGGGTAGGCCGCAGCAATCGACGAGCCACCTTCACCGACGGGGGCACTGTGGCCTGCCTTGCCGCTCGCGAGACCGCCGGCCAGGCCGCCCGCGATCGCGCTGGCAATGCCGCCTAGAACGCCTGGGCGCTTCTTCTTCTGCTGCTTTTTCTGTGGGCGCTCCTCTTCCTCTTCCTCCTCTTCCTCCTCTTCTTCTTCCTCTTCTTCCTCCGCCTCTTCTTCTTCCTCTTCTTCTTCCTGTTCCTCCTCCTGCTCGTAGTCGTCTTCTTCTTCTTCTTCTTCCTCCTCGTCCCTCCGGTTGTAGCGTGGCATGGCTAAGCAGATCTGGCGGTGGGACGGTGGTATGGGGGCATGTGGTCGTCAGCTGTGGCTGGTGAAAGATGGCAGTGGAGCGCGGGCCTGCCTGCCTTAGCCGTTGCACGCGCGCCCCACTCCGCCTCTTCCTCCTCTCTCCTCCCTCCTTCTTCTTCTTCTTCTGCCCTGCTTCCCACCACCCCACACCCCGACGCCAAACTCGCACTGTGTACCTCTTTCCTGGGAAGGTCGGGGGTCAGTCGATGGTCCGGGTGGCTCTTAAAATTCTTTTCGCTGAACGGCCTGTGGGCAGGTGGTCTTGTGTCTTCTTTGGAAAGCCATTGGCTTTCCAAACCAGGAAACTACAAACGGAAAAAAGACAAAAAAAAAAAAAAAAAAAAAAAAAAAAGAGAAAAAGAAAAGCTCTTCAAAAAGAGGAGCACCGGAGTGAGCGAGGAGCAAACTTCCGTTTCCTGTCCGATTTTTTGAATATTCAAAAGCTTTGACTGATGGTATGTTGGGCATCTGCCAGAAAGCGACTTGCGAATCCTGTTCTAACAAGAACACAAATAGAAAACTTTGTATCCGATGCGAGTCTGTCATAAACGGTGGAGCAGTGTTGGCTCTGTCACTGTTTTCCAGCTTTGACGGAGTCGCCAATGGAAGCCAAGATGTTTCATTTTTCAAGCCTCCTATCAGTGAAAGCTCCAGTCGTCTAATGGCCCGTGGCTACATGTGGGACTATACCCACTCCTTTGACCCTTGGATCGGGGCATAAAAGATTCCTAATCTCATGGGCCATTGAGTTGTTGAGGACTCTTTAAAAAATCCTTCCTTGGTTAGTTCATTGGTTTTACCCTATTCCTATGTTTGAATACTTATTCTTACTTTCACAGTAACTCAGTGCTGATGCCCAGCATCAAAAGGGCATCCCATGTTCCTTGTGCTGAATGGGCCAAAGCACAAGGGGCACACCCTTTATTTCTTCTTATTTTTACTCATTTTCCTCTTATTTTCCCTTTTCCCCACCTTTCAAGCCTCTGTCCCTGCAGTGGGACAGATAGGGTACGACCAAGCACCCCTCACCATACGGCGCTGGGGGAACCCTTGTCATCACCAGCGACAAGGGCAGGAGAGAGAAGGGGGTCAACTGTGTAGGGTCAGAAGGTTGTCAGTTGGGAACTCAAACGCAGAAACACCAACAATCGTACATGCACCCCACTGGGTTGCATTAGCACCATCACTCAACCAACAGGCTTTATCGCATCGCACTCGTACTCACACGTCTCACTCTCACAGCAACAGGATTGAGGGCAGGTGTCGGTAGAGCACTGCCCCTGACACCCTCGCAGGGACAGGAAGGTGGGGATGATGATGCATCGTCGTCACCACCACCGCCGTCGTTGCAGCAGGCGAGCTTATGGGATCCTCACTCCAGTGTAGTGCCCACGGCGCCACACAGCCGAGGGTGGGCCAGCCATACTCCCCACCCACCGTCCCTTAAGAGGAACCCCACTAAGGGGCCGTGTGCATGGAGGGGTACGCACCACCTCTCACTACCCTCACCTTGAAATTAAAGTCCTCTGACCGCCCTGCCAACCAAGTGGATGATATTCCACCCACAACTGGTTAGCTGCAAATACACTTTGCTAACACCTTGGAAACTAAAAAAACTGGGAAAAATAATTGGGGTCCTGATCCTTGTGGTTTTATGACAGGTATGCTTGTTCGAATAAAATCCCTAGACTTTATCACAGAGACCTCAGTGTAGTCTCACATACAGGTGGAGCGCGACTGACCACGTCTTCAACTGCTGGGGAGTGGTGATCAAGGGCCGAAGCGCCCTTCACAGCCGCGGAGGTCAGTGGATGGTCCGGGCTAATTAACTTTTTTATTTTATTTCTTTTTTTTTTTTTGGGTGAGTTCCATCGCCTCAGTAGGCCCGCGAACGTTGGACAAAAAAAAAGAGGCGCACCTGGCAAAACCTTCGTTTGGATATTCATAAGCAGTGCTAATCTTACGTTTGTATATTATTTTTAATTTTATTGTGAGAAGCTCCAATCGTCTAACGGTTAGGACAGTCGCACTCAGCCCTCACGGGCTACAAATCGCGACGATCGGTGTTCGAATCACCGTTGGGGCCAACAGCATTTCCAGGCCATCTGTTTTTGACTCTGGTATCTTTTTGCCCTCTTCCCACACCATCACTGACTCAAGAAAATGGCGGGTAGCAGTTCAGACTGGAAAGAATCTTGGAACAGTCGTGAACGTAGTGGTACCGCATATTTTCATTTTGATTACACGTACGATGAGGAGAGATGTGAAGAGAGATGTGCTACTGGTCCCTGGTCGAGTAGAGAAGAGATTCCCTTCCTCAGCGGTGAAGGCTCGCAGGAGTAACGGGCAATAGTCCTGTGGATGCGGGATTGACGAAGTAGCAATCGAGACAAATGAGAGACAATTATCATACGCTTCGAGGTGTCCCTGGGCTGCCGATGCTTGGAGTTGGCGTTCATTTCTTCTGGGCCAGTCTGGGTCTGTCCTCCCGCGAGCTCGCCAGCTTGTTGATTATGCTCTTGGGATCTCGTCGATAGTGCAGTATTGGACAGCCGTAAGATGTAGACAGGCCAAGCAATTGGTGTTTCCACACCTTGCATCATGTTTTATTATTATTCGTGGCGCAGTTTTTCTCGTCTAGGCCAAACAGGAGCAATCGAGCATAATCGCGCTGCTCACAGCGATGTCGATGGAGTCCCAGGTGCTTGATGCACAGATGCACACGAATCACGCGCATTTGGCGACAAGTCTGCTCGAAGCGAGCATTCACAGGTTCTGCATTGTTGAATGAAGAGTCGCGGTGCTTTTTGTCTGGCTTGTCGCAGTGCGGCCAAAATGGTTGTGTATCGTTGCGACGGTGTCGAATTTTTCAACCGATCGCCTTGTTGGGCTGCTCGCAAGCACTTACCAGCACCCTGCCTTCTTGGAAAACCCCTTGCAATGCTTTTTCTCGGGTGAGCGGAAGAAGGTGGTTGGCGCTTTTCTCGCTTGGCCTCATTTTTGTCTTGCAGGTATCCCGGCGAACTGGCTTGGTCTCATTCGATGGTAATGTGTCGTCAGTGTCACCGATTTCTACAACAAGGAATGCAAACTCTGGCGAAAGGACTCTGTGATTGCGACTATTGGGGGCGGCTCATTTTGGTCGGGAGCAGTGCCGATAATGCCGCCCCTCACAAGAGCCTAGCTGGGAAAGCATGGGGGGTCTAGGTATCTGATGCCAACTGTTGATGGCAACAAGAAGAGTACGGTCTTGAATCACAAGGAGTGGTGCGGTGGAGATGCCTGATGACCTTGTAAGTCCGTAGTGCATGGGGTGGGTTTACCTGGATGTAGTCTATAACGGTTCACTGTTGATGGCGCTTTCTCCCCGTTGGCCCTTCAGGGCAGGAACAATATAAAATAAAAAAAAAGCAGTGCCGATAATGCCGGTTGGTTCACCGGAACTGCTAGAGAAGGCGCGTGGCAGCACCGCCCTCGGTGAGGTTATTCCCGAGTACAAGCTTCCATCTTTTCAAAGATGGGCCCAGATGGAACTCTCGTCGATGATCGGCAGGCTCGGTTCTGGTGATTTCAGCCTCGCGAAACTGCCGGTAGCTGAGCGCCGAATTAAACCTTCTTACGAGGATTTAAACGACTCAGTCCAACGGATCCTCCTCGCCGCGGCAGAGAACATCGGAGCACCACAGAATGCGATCCGTGTCGAAGGCGACATGAACGGCGCTTCTGTCATTGGCAAGACGGGCGTGGATCTTCAAAATCTTCAGCCCTGCGGATGATTCTTATCACAGCTTGCTGAACTCCACCGTCAACGGTATTGTGAACCTTGAGGCAGCCGAGACCACGCGACTCATCATCGACGTTACGAGCAATGGTGGCAGCGACATCTGTTTCGGGCAGGCTATAATCCGATACCTATTCAAATCCGCAAAAGTGGTTCGGGTCATGTACGATGTCCGAGCGACCAAAATGCTAAGCGACTTGATCAGGATGAAGGCACACCTCTCACTGCCTGAATTCGATTTCTCCGCATTACTGGACGACAAAGGGAAGCGATCGTTCCAGACCGCAGATGATCCATTTTCGTCTGGGCAGGTACTCGACCGCTGTGGTACTCAGCAAAAGTTTTCAAACCGACTCACAATCAACTGTAGCGGAAAGGTTGATCTGCCCCTCAACGAGAAATTATTCGTGCAGCTGAGAAGGAGCTGGGCGCCCAAGAATGAAGCTTTAGTAAGTAACGGAGGATGCGGGTCGACATGCGCAATTTTCTCAACGTTTTGTGATTTCGTTGTTCATGCTAAGAGCTACCCACTGCCCCTCCTCTTTCTGATGATTGGTTCGACATATGCCTGTTGCCTGTTGCCGAACGAACGATAAGATCCTGCGGGAATACTTAGGCATAAAATCGTGCAATACGGCGGTCCCACCCCGTCAAAGCCCTTCCAACCCTTATCCTTCGAAGGCGGCCGCATCTCCTCCTTCAACTCCCTGCTCCGGCAAATCCAGTACATCCTCTCCGCCTCCAACACCTCGTCGTCCTCGTCCTCCTCCTCCATTTTCCCGTCCGCGGTCAGCCTGCGCGCCAAGTCAAGGGGGTCAGTGATTGTGAGACTACACTGAGGTCTCAGTGATAAAGTCTAGGGATTTTATTCGCAATCCCCCTATTATTATTCCTGGTTCTTTAGTTTCCAAGGCGTTATCAAAGTGTATTTGCAGCTGACCCGTCTTTATTATTGGGCCCGCTTTTATTACTTTTGTCTTTACACTTTCCGTTGCACCAGGGTTTTCTCAACTTATTTTCTTTTGCAGTAACTAACAGAGGCTGCCTGACTGCCAAGGGATGGGGAGCCTGACAGGCCATACCCCACGCCTGCCTAATTATTCTTTATTTTGGCACTTGCACGTACATGCATAGGGTTGGGTGACTAAGAGCCTTTGTTGTGAATGCTCAAGTCAGGGGGTTGACTTGTCAATTTTCTCTCTCTGTTTTTGGCCCATTTCTCTTTTCCTTTTTTCTTCAATAGATTTCTGCCCTTTGGCATCAATACAGAATCCCTTCAAATTCATCTGGCTCACTAGGTGAGGGTAGTGAGAGTTGGAACACACCTGGGTGTGTACGTGGTCCCTTAGTGGGGCCTCTTAAGGGCTGTAGGGGAATGCAGCTGGTCCCAACACGACTGTATGACATTGCCAGCTCTGTGTTGGAGTGAGGATCCTCGGTGCTTGCCTGCCAGCGTCGTTGTCCGCCACTGTTATGAATCACCCTCTGGAAACCTCTGGAACCTTCTAGAACATTCCTTCATGGAACCTTGTGGAACCTTCTGGAACTTTCTTTGCTTTCCTGACTTGTCTTGTTGTCATTGGTATCATTGTATTACTAATTGCTCTTTCTGGAACTTTCTTTGAGTCTTGATAAGGAAGACTCTCAAAAGGTATAAAAGGGGGATGGGGGGACCTGTCCCATCCCTCAAGTGAATTATTGTTTCCAATACAATCATCACTCCTCTCAGTTCCTTGTCTGCCTTGTCCTGTCCTGCCCTGTTCCTGACATCCCAGGGTCAAAGGAGTGAGTACGGTCTCACATCACAACCAATCCTTCAAGTGACCCCTAAAGGATACACCAACAGCTGACATGGAAAAACTTTTCAAAGCCTCCAAAGTGGTGGCTGGATCCTGGTTAATTTCTGGAGCTGGTTTTTTTTAATGATTGATTACATTATTGTTGTGAAGTTGAATTAGAGTGCAACGAGCAGGCAGCGAGGAACTTGTGTTTTAATGGATTGAAGGAGCAACGTGAGGGACTGGGGTGTAGACAGAGCTGTCACTAGGTTGGTCCATGAATGAGCTTTGGTGGGGCAGACCGCTCCCCTGTTGGAGGCAGAGCAGTCTGTCTACATAGGAGGTCGTTCCCAGTGCAGCTCGCGTGGATCCATGAAGAAAGTGAAGCCTGTCTAGGGTGGAGACAGATGTGCAACGCATGTCAGAACCCTCTTCGGCATAATGACTTTTCCGGTGGAAGCTTCTTTGCGGAGGTGCGTCAGAGTGGTGGACAATGATTATTGGGGATGACTGTGGCGGACAGTGTCGAAGACAGACAGCAAGAAACTTAATCCAATTATGCCACAAACATAACAGATGTACTAAATGTATTGGCCTGGACATTTTTTGGTCAGATGTGGTGGTGCGCTAAGTCCCAGGGTTTGAATCCCACCAGTGTTATGCTTTTTGCCTGGCATTGAGCTGAGTGCTTGTGCCTTTAGCAAGTCCGCAGAGGCGCCTTATTTGAGATTCTCAAGTATCTCACATAGGGTGTTGGTCATAGTTTAGGTTCTCAACAAGCTCTCATATGCTACATCTAACACATCATTCACTTTATATTTAACACGTGACCCTATCTAAAAGAGGGATTGATTCTGGTCATTCCCATAATTTTTCTAAATTTTTCTACTATGTAGACTAATTAATCAGACTAATTTTTCAAGTTCGTAGCTCTAAATGCGATTATTTCACTATCTTTGATAGTGCGAAGGGCTCCCTTCGGCTCTTGCGTTACAAGTATGGTCCGTGTATCTTGAGAGCTACCTTGTTTATTAGTTTACCTAATCTTGAAATCCCACCTATCTTTACAAACCCAACCTTCAATCAATGCCATTTCCAAGGAATTAGATTTGTTTCTTCTGAAACTCCCCTTTCCCCTTCCCTATGAGCCTCCTATAACACAGCCTGAGCCACCCTTAATCTCTTTGGACTCTCTGCACTCTTGCGGAGTTGGCATTCTGCCAGACTACTTGTGGTTGACCTTCTGTCGCCCTTGGGTTATGCCACTATGTCGGCCTTGCTTGCGCATGGATGGGGATATTGAATACAATTGTGTATGGTCATCTGCTTATAGGATGGTGGAAGATTAAGTACCTGTCCTGAGGGATGGTTGAGTAGAGCGTAGCAGGATGCCACATTCCCTCTATTAGGCAAGTGCCACTGCCAGACCGTTAAGTAGTACTCACAATGTGGGAGTCCTAGTATAGAGTCGAACTATAGTTCCCCCGCCGCTTGACACTGCGGCTAGATTTGATACAAAGATCTCCT